TTTCAAAAAAAAAAGACATGTTTCTATGTATAAAAAAATTGTGTGGCTCACAAAGTCACAATAATTTTCTCCATTCTACATCATTTTTAACAACACAATTTTAATTTTATTAAATTTTGTTTAAAACCCAAACAAGAACACAATTTTAATTTTATTAAATTTTGTTCAAAACCCAAACAAGAATTTTTTTTGGAATAGAGTGAGGTAAAGTTATCCAAAGTTGTTAGAAAGAGACAAAAAAATTAAAGTTTGTCATTAAAACAAAACACTTGATGTAAAATTTATTTTGAGACAATCTATGTTTTTTTTACCGAGGGAGCACAATAAAGCCGGTAAAAAAAAATTCATCTCACACAAATCACAAGTACCAATCAGATGACTAATATTCGATGCTTCTCACCATTCTTTCAAAACCTTATTATTATTGTAATTACTCTCCTCCTAATTTTTAGCTCCCGGCCAATTATTACTAATGCCGCCCGCCCCACGGTTGGTTTTCCGGCCACCGCCGCCGTCAGGGAAGACCAGACCAGTTACCGTCATCCCCGCAGTGTTCCGGCGGCAGGAGGTAGAGATCATTATTTCACAACGCAGAAGAGACGAGTCCCCAAGGGCCCAGATCCAATCCACAACAAATTTGTGGTGGACGCCGCCGCCGCCGCCGAGTCCCCGTAGTCAATACACACACCGCGCGTTGGGTTTTCCATCTGTTTCCTGGGATGAGCTGAGGTGTATGTATATACTACTTTGTGAATTAATCGTTTAATTTCACTATTCAAAATCAAATCCTTTTTCGTTTTACTTATTCATTTATCAAAATAATTTAGTAATATTACCCCTATATATATTAATGTGAAATTTGTACAAAATAATACTAAAACATATGTTATTTCTCAATATAGTACTTAAATTTTTTATTTCCTAAATAATGATGGTAAATATTTAGTTTGAACAATACCCAGTGGCGGTGGATATTTACTTGAACAATGATCAGTGAACAATGACCAGTGGTACTGCATTGAGAAATAAAAAGATACTTCTTATGATACTACATTAGGAAAATCATTATCTTTTAATAGTATTTAGATAAATTCTCCTATATTATTATGTACTCGAGTTAAGTCCATTACGAAATTATATGCGATAATTAAAATAAACTTAAATAAAATTAAATTTAATTCTTTTGAATCTTTTTATGAATGGTTTGACTTTTTACACTTAATTATTCTCTACCTTTGAAAACAAATTAAATAAAGTTATGTGGTATATTAATTAGAAAAATCAATATTTTGAAAATATTTTACAAAATAAATTTAATAAAAATTTTTTTGTATTATTATCTAATATCAATTTTATTTAATTAGGTGTCAAAATATGTTGATTATGACTATAAAAGGTCAAAGTTAGACAAATATTCCGGAACACAAGTAACAATTTATACCTCGCTCACTCATTATATTTTGTCTCGATCAAACATCCTTATTTTTAATTTACTATTCATAGGATCAAATTTCATTGACTTTCTTTCACTACTTTCGTTACTCATTTGATAAAATAATATAGTCATATAACATCTTATTTTGTAAAAATTTCTATGTAATTTTTTAGAATTAAGCTAGGAGTACACCAACATGGGGTACCCCTAGCATTGCCCAATTTTTTAATATGTGAATTTTATTTTTTCTTTTCGCTCAAATTCTCAAATAAATTGTATTGAAAATGAACTCAGCCAAACATTGTAAATCCAAACAGGCAATAGATAGAGTACAAGGGTCAAGCCCGGTCTACAAGCAATCACAATATACCGTACAGCCAGTTGTATGATGTTTCCCAAATATCCGCGACGAATACTCATTTACAAGCAATTGAATATTCATTTTCGAGTAACTGAATAATCATTTTTCAAAAATTTAGTTATACTTGAAAATGAGTATTCAATTACTCAAAAATAAATATTTAATTACTTGAAAATAAATATTCATGCAGATATACAGAAAATACCGTACATATAGACGTATGGTATAAGGACTCGCAAGAAACGTATGGACTTTGAAAAACAATATGGGTCATCACGACCGCCCCATGGGCTTTGATTTTATAAGGAAACTTGGTTCAACAGACTAGTGGGCTTTGAGTTGGGCTGTAGGTGATTGAGCCGCAAGGAGGAAAGGGTGGTTCAAAACATATTTTGAGCCTGATCTAACACAAGAAGAAAAAGAGAGATTTATATGTACTGTAGTTGTTAAAAGGTTTCCACATCTCCTCTCCCAAAAATATTTTCCCACCCTCGCATCTAATTTTTTTTTAGATATTCTCCCATATTTCATGCTCCCAAATACTTTGTGGTTCAGCATTTCTTAATGAAAGTCATAACTCTCTTTATTTTAATATGTTGAGAATATATGAATTAATAATATATTATAATATAGTTGTTAGTTTTTAAATTAAATAAATATGATCACGCTTCATTATTATGTAATGTGAGAACACTTGTAGACTGAAATAAGATAATGTACATTTTGCTAAACTCAGTTTTCTTGCATTAACTATTTTCATTTGTGAACGTAACATGTTATACTGCTACACTCTTGCCCAAAAAAGATTTAAGTTGAATTTACCAAATTTGGCAGTGTACGCTCTTATTTACGACGAGCTACTTGAAATAAAATCTTTCGAAAACCATCATTTTTTGAACGTATTTGTGCCTCTATAAATTGATCTTCTAAACAATATGCTACAAAATGAAAATGTTTAATTTGAAAATGATACGGAGTATATACTCCCTGCATCCCAAATTATTTGCCACACTTGTTTTTTCAGCAGTCGCGAGAACTTTTGTTTATATCTACATTTTCATTGGTTATTTGATAAAATAAAATATTTTTGACACCCCTTATTTCGAAGAACTTTTCATGTAGTTTTTTGATATGTAAATTTTATTTTTTTATTTCTATACCAATATGTAAATAAAATGAATTGAAAAAAATTTGATATTTTACCTCGAAAATACAAGTATGACAAATATTTAGGGACAAAGAGAGTAAGTAAAATCAAGTGATATTGTCTCTCTCATGTGACATGAATGCAGAAGTAGACAATTCACAGGATGAGATGACAATAGTTATATAAATGTAAAAATAATTAAGGTGAAATCACCAAATAAGCAATTAAGGGCATATCCTTTAGAGAGTAAGCTTTTAACTTTCAATTTCTTAAATTTTTTCTAGCCACTTCAATTCATGTTTCTTCTAGTTTTTTCATAATCTTTTAGTTTTTCCAATTATTTTAATTTTATTCAATTTTATTTACTAAAAAACAATGACACAAAAATAATGTATTTCACATGTTATTATTATTATTACAATTATTATGTGCAAGGATTTCATACCACATAATACTCTTAGTATCCCAAAAATAGTTTTTGTTGTGGTTTTTGATATTTAATTGAAATTATTTTTAATTTGATTTATAAAAAAATTAGCTTAAAATACAAAAACAAAATTAATATATTTAAAATCTAAATAAAGAATTGGACAAAATCAGAGATGACACAAAACTATATTTTTATTTAATACTCCCTCCATTCCTTTTTAAACTGTCTCGTTTGTTTTTTAGCCTAGTATTTAACTAATAATATCTCTTGAAATCTATTAGCAAAAGATTATTAAAAACCAATACATTAAAAGTATTTTTCGATACTAATAATTTGGTAAAATTTTTATATTTTATTTCATTGTGTATTTTTATATATACTCCCTTCGTTCTAAAATATTCTTCCCATTTCTATTTACGAGGTTTGACCGACTTTATTTTCAATATAATTTATAGATTGTAGGTGTAAAATTTAAAAATAAAATTTATATATTTAAAAATTACATCAAAAGTTCTATAAGACAAGAGGTGACAAGATTATGTTATTTTATTAAATAACTAACAAAAATAGATAAAGAAAGTGATTAAAGTTTAACTGTGTGAATAGTAAATGAGAAGAATCTTTTAGGATGGAGGGAGTAGTTGCTCAAATGCTTGATACGCAAAACAAAAAAAACAATTAAAAAGAGTGAAGAGAAGAAAATAATGTGAGTAATGTGACCAAAATTTGATGATATTAATAGGGAACCAAATTTTTTTTTTTTTAAAAAAGATGAACTTCATCCCCGAGGGCCCCTTCAGACTCGGTCAGACGATCACTGAGAGGAGGTAAATTGGACTTTGATTGCAGATTGGTGGCAAAGAGTAAAACCTTCACCTACTTGCAGAGATCTTGTTTAGCATAGTTGTCTCCCAAACACAATTGACAGAAATAGAAAAAGGAGAATTTCCTATATAGGAGTAAACAATTACTCCCTCCGTTCCACAAAACCCTTCTCCTTTCGTTTTTTGTTTTCGACAAAACACTTCCACTTTCTATTAAAAAACCACTTTTACCCCTACTTTTTCATACCCTACCTATCATATCATACTTTTTCACTAATAACCAAATTATCATATCTTATTTTTTCTCATCACATCAGGGACAAAATTGGAAAGTCAACCAAAATTACACTTTTCTTATTTTTCCCCAAAGTCAAAATGGGAATGATTTTGTGGAACGGAGGGAGTATGAAAATACCAATATATGAGTCATAAGTCTTTTAAGAGCAAAATAAAAATTCACATTGTCATTGTTACACCACCACACTCACTACATTGACACATTGCAACTGCGACACTATCACCGCAACATTGCCATTCGTCGCCGCCGGCCACCAAAGTACTGCTGGAGATCACCGACGATTGACTAATCACAATGACATATTACACTGTCACCATTTCCAGCACAGTATTAATGCATATTCTTACACTACATTATCATTATACTCATATTTTGATCTTAAAAAACATAAGTCTCGTAATTTGGCATTTTCAATTTTTTTTTTACTCCAAGAGAGATTTCTTAATAGAAACTTCAGAGAAACCGTAGTCCATAGACGCATAGTTAAAAACTTGGAGAAAGAAGAGCGCCACAGTAAAATAACAGTGTAGAAGAATACGCACGTTGAAGCTACAGCAAGCAAGAACAAACCCCCATTTCCCCAACAGTTAGGGTTTCTGCCCATCTCTTCCCCAGTTTTAGATTCAAATTCACCCAATTTTCTTATCCCACCCTACAAAATCAGCTATCACCTCGCACCTTCTTTGCTCTGTAAGATTCCCCGCCCCGGCACACCAGCTGTGCCTGTATCGCAGGAGCTGAGCTGAACTGAAATTAGCAGTGATGGCGAAGACCAAACCTGGGAAGAAGGATCTTGATTCCTACTCCATCAAAGGCACCAACAAGATCGTCAGACGTAATGAATCTCGGTTCTCTTTGTTCTTTTTTCTTTCTCTCGTCGGTTCTTTATATGTAGTGCTCAGGTTCAGTTTAAGTTGCTGATTTGATTTTTCGATCTTATAGAGCACTTGGGTTTTGTATCCTGGGCGTATGTATACATTCTTCTGAAAAAGATACGATCTTGTTAGTTGGGGAAAAAAGGAAAGTGTTTTTGAGCCTGACTCACCAGATTATAAGTCAACACACTTTATTCTTTTAAATCTTTTGCAGTGTTATAATATCTGCGTATGCTTCCTTTTCTGATTCCGTATATCTCCTTGTCAAGAAAGGATATTTGAATTCTCTATATAAGGAATGTAATGCATTGGTTAGTTTTGCAGTTTATTTTGTTTTGCTCGGCGAGTTTGAATGTTACTGCATTGGTTAGTTTTGTTTTCCTGTTTTGTAGAGCATTCGCAATTAAAAACGTGATTTTTTTCCCATTTCCAGCTGGGGATTGTGTACTAATGAGACCGGCAGACACGGATAAACCACCATACGTGGCAAGAGTTGAGAAGATAGAGGCTGACCACCGTAACAATGTGAAGGTGCGGGTACGGTGGTACTACCGCCCTGAGGAATCTGTGGGTGGCCGGAGACAGTTTCATGGGGCAAAGGAACTATTTCTGTCAGATCACTACGATATGCAGAGTGCACACACCATTGAAGGGAAATGCATCGTGCATTCTTTCAAGAACTACACTAAGCTAGAGAATGTGGGCCAAGAGGATTACTTCTCTAGGTTTGAGTACAAAGCAGCTACCGGAGCATTCACTCCCGATCGTGTTGCTGTGTGAGTTCTTCATCCCTCTGCTATAATATTCTTTTATAATCATAAAAAATTCCTCCCTTTAAAAAACATACCCTTAATTCATTAATGATTTATTTGTTCTGAAGGTATTGCAAGTGTGAGATGCCCTATAACCCTGATGACCTCATGGTACAATGTGAAGCATGCAAGGATTGGTATCAATCTTAATTCCTGCCTTTCTGAAATAAGTTTTTTAGGTTGCTGCTTATTACTCGTATTTATTTTAGCCCATTATCAAACATTAAAAGCTTTCTTTCCGGTATTGTTCTCATCATAATAAGATGGACTACCCATCAAATGTCATCGTTTTTAGTTATGGTTTGATCCATATCCCTCTTTAATACAAAGAGAAATCATTACTCTGACAAGTGATAAATAGCTTATAGTTCATTCGTTCAATGATGCAAATTACAAAAGATAAAGATAAAGCTTGTTTCTTTGTGGTATTCTTAGAAGTTAAAACACTACATCTATGAGGCATCCAAGTTTCATGGCCATAAAGTATTGTCAACCTACTTGTAGAGATGTTCTGGTTTTTGTGCTTAATTAATATGGGTTCAATAAAATTGTAGGTTTCACCCCTCGTGTATGGGTATGAGCATCGATGAGACCAAAAAATTAGAGCATTTCTTGTGTTCGGACTGTTCAGCTAATGACGAGGCTAAGCGGCCCTTGAACTCATTTCATGTACGTCCAACTGCTGAGTCGAAGGTTAGTGTGGCATCCTTCTATTTGGTTATCATCTGCTCTGGGAAGTGCAATAGTTTATGGTCTAACACAATGATTTATGCAGATCTATTATCGAGTCAATAGAAAATTTCCAACTATAAATTATTACATCTCCCTCAATGAACTCTTAAATTCTTTTATTCACCGTCTACCATTTGAACATGTTGAGATGCATGGGAAGGATATTGGTCAAGCTTTAATGAAATTTATTATCGGATCAAACTCTTTGATCGCTGCCTTTACAAACGGATCTAAAGTTTGCCCTTTTCTGGCTCACAATGATTCAATACTCCGAATAGTAGCATATTATTGATTTTTTCCATCGATTCTTTAGAGACAAATCAAGAAACTTGTTCATAATCCCGTCCATTGCAGGTGGAGACTAAACGGAGAAAGAGATGAGTAAAGTAGAGGGGTGTGATACAGAATGCAGAATTGTGAAAGATCAGATTTGTTGCATATAAAGCTGGAAGGAGTGCCCTATTGATGTGTTTGTTGAACTGAACACCTGTACAGTGGTGAGGAGAAGTAGAAGAAGAAGATTGTGGGGGGGTGGGCTTTTCCAGCAAAGCCAGAGGTTTTTTTTTTTTTTACTTTAGTTACTGTGGGCTAACTTGGTTATTTTATGGAGTAAAACAAATATTGCTTGTGTGCCCTATACTGGGATTTACCAGTACTGTCACTGTTTGTGCTCTCCATCTGAGTTGAACCCCAATGCACTGAGAACAAGTAATAACAATGAGGATTAAACAGGAAACATGTTGATCCCTTCTTTTCCTTGTGTTCTAAGCATATGATCCCAAGTGTGTGCATAAATTTCGCTGCTTTGTCGAACTGTGTTTTTTTTCTTGCACAAAGCAGAAGCTACTCGTTAATGCCGTAATATGACGGGTAAATTCCAATGATGGTATTCGAACTTTGAGCGATATACTCCATTCGTTCTTAAAAGATTGTCACAATTTGATTTTTTTTTTTTGTTAAATTGTGGCTCCTTTTGACCACGGATTATATAAAGCTTAAAATAATTAAATATTACAAAAATTTGATATTTTTAAACTATATTTTAAAATAAACTCAATTTTACTAAATTTAGATTATAAATAAATATTTTTTTTTAATAATTCACGGGCAAAGATGCCACAATTTGACTAAAAAAAGTTAAACTGTAGCAATTTTTTAGGGAAGGAAGAAATATTGTTTTGACACTTAAACTTTATTTCTTATTGCAAAAATACTTGAACTTTGAGAGAATTTCACAAGTGTCTGGAACCGGTTTTCAAGGTTACTATCAAGCCACTTTGGGCGTAACTCTAAATCTACATATTCCTAATTTTTAATTTTGACCTTTTTCTCATATTTTTTACCGTTCCTTCTCCAAAAAGGGTAGAAGTGGGAAGATGAAAGAAGAGGAAGTCTAAGAAAAATAAGAAAACTAGTTTGGTCAAAATAAAAAAATTAGAAATATATAAATTTGCACTAACACATAGAGTGAGTTGATAGTAACCTGAAAATTGGCTCAAGGAACTTCTCTGAAATATTTTCAAAGTTTATATATATTTGCAGAAAAAAATAAAATTTAGATACCAAAATGATAGTATTTCGTTAAAGTTCAGATATCTTCGGTGAAATTTACCCCAACGATGGCCAATATTCCAAAGAAAATAATTTCACAAAAACAGAATGGCATGAAATCTTCAGGCTTCCAAATGGAGTTCTCATCCATGATGATGGCTCATTTCATTTAGTACACAGTCTTGAGTCAATGTTACCATGAAATTGTTAAGGCTAAACATAATGAGCAAACAAACTGGGAATAAATGAGCAGCTTAAACTCTTTGGACGATGACTGAATTTGCCAGCCCAGCTTGCTCTATAGTCTGCTCCAGATCGGCGAGCTGTTTTGGAGGGAACCCCACAGTCTGCAGTTGATAGGTCCTTGGGGCACCGGGCCTTGATGCATCGATGAACCCTCTGATATCTCTCACCGTGTGGTGGGTGTTGAACCGGGAAACCATGCGGGTCCCATCAGCTAGCCTGAGCTGGATTGACGTGGAAGGTTGTGTTTGATCGACCGAGAGTCCTATGGCTGGGGCAGGGGCAGTGGGGAAGGAGGACGCCCTATCGCTTGACTCGACTTTTTTGTCCTCATTGACAGAGCTACTAGCTAAGGTTCTTCCCACACCGTGAAATGGTGTTTGCCGCTTCTCTTGTGCCTAAACAAAATGCAAAACTGGAAGTGTAAGTACATATTGGCTGAATTGGCTTATAAGTACATTTAAATGTTTTTGTGCATTTTTTCGCACAGGCTTAGTAATTGCTGCAGCAGATTATTCAAAAATTTTAAGCCTTACCAAACGGGTGCTAAATAAAACAAGAGCAAATATCGTACCGGGCAGTTCTCCTCTTTCCTTATTAGGCTGACATGAACAGCTGTCTTCCTATCTGGTGGCTGAAGTTCCAGTGGACACTCTGAATTCCCTACACTCTGCATCATAATCCAAAACATATATACTATGGTCAGAGCTTCTAATGAAGCATAACAACAAGAAGATGTGAATGATGGTGTCATTTAAACACTATTTAATTCTGAATTAGAAAAGAACATGCTAACTATTGATTTCACTGCAGTATTAATATGAATTGGATGATTAAGGACTAAGGAGACTAAGTTTAAATGAATAAAAGGAAAAACAAAGTGACTAAATAACATATATATATATATATATATATATATATATATATATATATATATATATATATATATAATTGGGGAGATGCGGAGTACACCAAAGACAAATCCCAGTAGTAATTGACACTACCTCCAAAAAGGGTCGATTTTCGGGGTCATCCAACCTTCTGAGAGGTCCATCATCTACGGTGAACCCATTCCTCCAGAAAGTTATAGTATGGTTGACAGCTTCAGGCGGCTGAGGAGCAGAAGCAACAGTTTCACCAGTGAGTCTCCTTGCTGTTCCAACAAAGCTTCTTGAACTTGGAGGAGGAATGTTCTCAACAGGTCCACCTACAGGTTGAGTCTGTCTGGCTTGCCTAAATAGTGCGTCCACATCATTCATTTTAGATGGATCCTGCACAAGCATCCCACTACAAAAAAGAATATGCAATATTAGAATACTTTAGGGCTCAGAGTAAGTTAATTTAAAAAAATGAATAATCTATGATGGAAAAAAGTGAGAACAAATTGCATTTGCTTAGAAACACTAAAACATCAACAAAGATAAGAAGATAGAATCAATGAAACAAACAAGATTGGAAAATGAAAACAATACTTGGAGAAAATATCTCAGGAATATTTTACAATATTGCACAAAACTTGCATACACAAAAAGATAACAATTATGCATAAAAGATTCCTGAAAATAGAAACACAAAAGGGGCTTTGAAAAATACTGATTTATGAGCACATAAATCTGCATCCATCAACTTAATCACATAAACAAAATGTAAATAAATACACCTAATGGAAGGGAATTACTAAATAGTTTTATTGGGTACACATTCAAATGCAAATGATAAGGTAGGGGTAAGGTATCTTGCCCCCTGACCTCCTCTTTGGATATACAGGGTTTGGTTTGGATAACTCAACAGCAAATGAGTGGATTCCTGCCATAATGTAAATCCGAGAAAACAGACACAAAATATAAATGTCCTTTGAAAAATTCTAGTGATGTGCATGGACCATAGTTCGAAACCCAAGTTGAATTCTGAAGGGCGTTTGATTTTTATTTTTGGGGTGAGGGGGGGGGGGAATTATTATTTTTATTTTTAGCTGGTTATGTATACTTAATGGTAAGTGCTAGCGATCTTGTGCGGCGATATTATTAGTAGTTATAGGGATTTTCAGATGTGGTGTGATGTGTGCATATTTGTAAGAAGATGTTATTATACATACTCCTAATTTAATATGCATTTTGGGTATGGAATGAGATAGGCAGAAAATCCTCCTAATCTCCTCGTTCTACGCTTCCCACTCTTCACCTATATCAGTAAAAATTCGTGAAGATTTGGTGCTTTTATTGAGAGGTTTCTCCTCATGATTTTATCCCATTTTATAACAAATTACAATGGCAATTGATGGGAAGGGCCCCCTCTTCTGTGGTGATGAATCTGCGGACTGGCTGGAGAAAACTAGAAAATATTTTACATCACATAACGTTGAAGCTGAAGGTGACTACAATCGAATCGAGGAAGCTCTGTCGGGTTTGTATGGATGTGCTAAAGATTGGTTATAGCAATTAGACAAGACCGGTCCTTGTTTAGCTACATGGAACAAAATTGTGGAAGCATTATCAATTCAGTTTGGAGCTAAAGACAATATCACGAATTATGGTATATATGGGGTGTTGATGGATGCAGAGAATAAAGTTTCAACCCCTCCATCACCCACGTTTGCGGAGGAATCAGTTGTATTTTTTCTATTTCTGCTTCCAAATTCGACAAAACAAGGAATTATGGATGATCGTGACAAGTTTCTAGCAACGCTTTAAGGTATAGGTTCTTCCAATCCAATGCATCAATATGAATATGGAGTGCAATTCAAAGTGGGCACTCCATTTTGCTTATGTATTATTAAAAGCATAGAACAAACCTTTGTATATTCAAGAACGAAGCACTAAACTGAGGTCAACAAATAAACAACAATAATACCTCTTTTCTCCTCCAGTATAATACTCCTGAGGATTATCGGAGTCGCTCCCGGATCCTTGCGCGCCTTGACGATTCAGATCAGAGAAAGTGCGAATTCGGCCACTCCTCCGGCCAGTACCGCTGCCGCCAGCCTGTGAAGCGTTCTTGGGTTTGGAAGACCGGAGATTGTAAGGGCTGGAAGAAGGCTGAGGCTGCTGGGAGCTACGATCGGGAGAAGGGGTCCGCGAGCGAGACGGATTCGAGGAGGGGTCGTCGGATTCAGTAGGAGACTGTGGGTCACCCGCGGCGGAGACGGGGTCGGGAGGATTGGTTTCGATGTAGGTGGTGACGGCGGTTTCCATGTCGAAGTTGTGGCTTTCGAGGTAGAAGAGAGCTTCATGAGGATTGGTAGAGGAGGTGATCTCGCAGAATGTGTTGATTAGGGTTTCCGTCTCCGGATTCACAGTGATTTTGTTTTCCATTGCTTTTCTTCCTTTCTGCTGATTTCTGGGTTTTGCTTTTATCTTTCTCTACCAGTAGCTTCCCATCTCAGGCTTCTATACCATCTTCTTCCTTGTCCTTCGCAGTTAGGTTTTATGGGCAAGAGTGACATTTACGTGGTACACTTCAACTTTTTTCTTTTCATAATATTTTTTCTTTCTAATATTTTAGTTAAAATTACTTAAACTAAAAGCATTAAATAAAATTTTTATTGGTATTAAATTTAAAATCACAATGACAACAATGCCATAAAAGAAGACGGATACTTTAAAAAAAGCGAATTATGCATTGCACATTTAAACTACTTTTGATTGATTTTGTCCTTCATTTTTAGATTTGTTGCGAGCTCTAGTTGAAAGAGAAAGTCGTATTATTTTGGCTCTGGCGCTCCAGCTCTAGTTGCTCATCAGTGGCTTTTTTTAATTGAATCTTCATAGACTATAATTTGTTGAAGGCGGTCATGCAATGATGGACACGAGCATGTCGATCCCTTACACTTTGGGCCTATCGGTGCGTGACGATGATGGTCTTCTCACCTTATTCGTCACGATGAGTGGTTTCGGCTCTAGCGAGTTGTATTTAATTATTGGACAATGTAATATCATGAATATATATTTGCAATGTCCTTTGCCCATTGTCTTTTAGGTTTTGATAATGAAAAAAGGTGATAAAAGTTCACCATCATATTATGCATCAAGGCTAAGAATCAGAGTTAGAACAAGTTTATATCCGTCCCTGAAGAAGGGGTCAGACTTGAGCATCGGTGGAAGGATCGAGACCGAAGACGTTATTTTCTTGGTTGTAAAGTCTTTTAGGTCTTAGAATGTGTGGTAAAGAGTATGGAATCTCTAGGGTTCATTCATTGATAATCTTACCTTCAAAATACCTTTTAGACTAGCCTTTGTGTGGAGAAGTTGCTCTTCTATTAGAATAGCCTTTGGTTTATTCGAATAAGTCTGGAACTTCTGAGTTGGGTGGAACATGCTGACTTATTCGACAAGTCCATACTTAGTCGAGTAAATGGATGTTTTTCTCGCTTCAGGTTTGTTTTGAACTATTCGAATAGTTCTTGGTTTATTCGAAGTCTGACGGTTTCAACCTCCAAACGACTAGTTTTTTTGAATGTTTTTTATTTCTTTCCACTCCCTAACTTCTATAAACTCCATTGCCTCGTTATTATCATTAGAAGAATAACAAGAACACTTCGAAGACCACATCCTTTGAATATCCAAAGAGATTCTACTCAATCCCCATCTAATATCCAAGTAAGATAATTGTTTTGATTGCTAAATTTTTTGCTTGAGTTTATCCTCATTGCTTGAGTCTTTGAGAGATTTTGTCATATTCTATAGGAATTCATTGTATTTGCAGAAATCTACTCTGTGTTAGTAGAATTATTCCGTTGTGGTTCATTTTCTTACATTTGAAAGGGATTTGTATTCTTGGTGTTGAAATTACATCAAGTGGTAGAAATCCTAACGGTTTGTGAAATCAAACGTTAGGTGGAAGAAATCCCGAGTCTTCTGAAATCAAGTTCTTGAGTTGCATTCGGATTGTCAAATTTTGTTAAGTTTTACGGGTTAGTGAAGGCTCGGGCACGTTTGATTCGGGAACTGGATGTTGGCATTTAGGCCAAACCAGTATATATCGTGTGTTCATTATTTTTATCCCTCACCTAATTTTATTTGTGGTTGTTTAGTTTTGATCGAATATTCTGTCAAAAACGCTTCCGCGCAAAAAATCTGTCATTTGGGCAACACCTCTATTCACTCCCCCTCTAGAGGTGTGCAAGACTTCTAACAGGCATGGCGTCGTCACTCAACAACGTAGTTGTCCAACGAGTGTCGGATGTTGGAGGACTACTATATCCCTGCTTTGACGTTTTGGTTTGTTTCGCATAAGACACCTCGTTCTATACCGTAGCCCATTTTGGGTGTCCGTTGAATATCTCCCACACTTTGAGATGTTTGAAGAGACATGATGTTGCGCTCGATACTTCTCAAATGTCATTCTTAACAAGTCAACGTCACACACACTGCTTGGTTGAGTGAGGACGATATTCTTTATATCTCGATTGACTCGGCAAACTTGTTGACTTTCGCATTCATGTCGCGGTACTTGAAGGAGATCGCGTCGACACGACGATAGGGCTCCACATTCATAAGTGAGTGAAATTGTTGAGTGATCTTACACCAAAAACCAATCGCGTTTAGCATTTCCTAATTGCAAAACAAATTGAGAAAAAAATAAGTGTTTGCAAACAAATTGAACCTCTAATTGAGTATTCAAATCGGGAACATTCACTCGCGCTCGGACCAACGGTTCCTCCTCCATTAGCGTCCACAATTTCTTCGTCGCATTGTTGGACGTACCCTCTTGGTATACGACCTTCTCCTTATTTTTTCGGAGGTTGCAATGTGGTGGGCTTTACAGGTTAGTGTTATGTGTGTTGTGTCATCTCACTGAAACTTTGTTTGTACTTTTAGGACTCCGTATATATCGAACATGATCTAAAGGGAAATAAAGATGACTATTGGGATTAAAAGCTTTTTCTTCTTTATTTCATTCAACTATTGTTAGACTATGCACACATTTTGTTAAAATATAAAAACCTAAGAGTTAGAGTTTTAAAAAATTGGATTAAATGTTCAAAGTTCTCTTTAACATATGTCAAAACATACCATTTTTTACCCTAAAAAACATCATTGTTTAGAGCAATAGTATTTAAATGTTATTAATTTACTTATTCTGAGGATTAATGAATTCTTATTAGTTACCTCGATTGTTATTGTATGCGCTTTAAACAATGTTTTTGAAAGAAGATGTTGTTTGTAAAAGTTTTTATATATGTTTTTTTATATTTATTCGACTTTCTTTGAATTCCAATTTATTCATTTTGTCACAAAATCAAATTCGGACATCTATTAAATTCGAGGAACATCACTTTTGACACTAAAGAATGACCAATTTTTACGTGTGAACATTACAATACGCTAATTGTTAAAAATTGTGTAAATTTCTTTGTCATTAAAATAGGGAAAGTGGTATTTTTATCCCCTAATTGATATTACGACTCCATATAAGTATACGATCTTTTTTTTAAAGCTTGTAAAATAAGGTGAAAATATGAATGTGGGGAGTGACAATATGACTCTCCAAATAAAGTGTCAAAAGTAGTGCGGACGAAAAATGATCATCTTGTCTTTGGGCTTGAGTTTTGAGAGGTTTGTTTTTGGTTGGTTTTGCTTAGAGTTATTAATCAGACAAATTATCTTATGTTAGAAGCTTATGATTCACTTTGGTTAACTTAGGTTGTTAAATCAAATAAGTCTCTGAAAGGGAAGAATCAAAATATTAAACTAGATTCACCAAGGTTCACCTCAATCCAAACAAATCCTTAGGGTTCTCTCTATCTGGACTCTATTGCACTCCTATGGCAAATGGAATCATACATGTGTTCATTGGAGCAAACATTTTGAAGCTGAATTTGATGGATTTGATATTTCAAACATCATATGATAATTTTGAGTTCACATTCTACTTCCAACTTAAGGTGTAGTCTGTACATACTCACTCCCCTCCCCAGACCCTGCTTTTTACGGAATTCTACTAGGTTTGTTGTAGGTGTGTGGCCAAGAATGTTATAGCTTATGTCCTTGATCTTAACCCCGGTGTACCCCCAAAACAAGTACTCCATATAAGAAAATGAAGGGTCCATTTAGAGATTGAAAGAGCTTTTCAGATTCTGAAAAAATTGGGAAACAAACTCACGAAATCACAACACTATATCAGTTTTCAAGATCTATGGTGAACAAGGCAAAATTAAGACATCAACAATATTATGTTCAAATCATGGTTTTGCTAAACGTCTAACCACATGAAAATCACCTTAAATATCAATGATCCCTCCTAGGATAACTTATACTGCTTCTAAGCCGAGGGACTACAGCAGGTGTACTGCGGGTCTTTTCAAGTGCAAAGCTAATCCTCAGAGGACGACCAAGAAATGCCTGGGGTGAAGAAACTTGGTTCAGAAGTAGTTCACATGCACTCAAAATTGGAAAGAAGTATGAATGAAATGGATATACTCCATATCTATTCACAGCATGGAAAGTAGAGTGGAGCTCACTAACCTTACCATCCATGGCATCTTTTGCACTTCTAGCCTCCTCTTCTTTGGAGAAATATACAAATCCAAAACCTCTTGTTCTGCCTGTATCTTTGTCATACATTATCCTCACTAGCAAATGATGTATACTCATATGTTAGCCACATTACCTCATACATAACTATTAAAAAATTAACAATAGCAAACCCATTAAAACCACCCAAAAAGTAGAAGCCCTGAGGGGGGGATGCAAACAAGCCAAACATCATCCTTACTTCATAGTAGAGAGGATGTTTCCAAGAGACCCCACGACTCAAATCTCTTGGATCGCATGTTTGAAAAAGTAAACACGACAACACGAAAAAGTAAGAACACAAACAAAAGAAGCACTCATACCAATACTAGCAACGCAAACTCAAAGTACAAAGAAAAAACACACGTGCTCAAGCTACAGATTAAAGAAACCTAGAGCTTCCAAACTAAGGCCCAAAGGTCTACCCAACTACACTAATCATGGATCTCCCCATGTTCTTATCTAAAGTCATATATATCTTCCTGATGTTGTAAGTCCAATGTAATAACCTTCTTCCCACTCTAAGTGAACCTCTACCTCTACCTCTACTCATTCTCACTACCCTAAACCTCTCACTTCTCATTACATTGGTTTAATGAATGAGAAACGGATGCTTCAAAATTGGAAAGAAAATGCAAATTTTCTCACAATCTTGTCCCAACTTCACACAGGCACACATTGTGCTGTGTGAAACCAAAGTAGTTGTTTCATCAATGATAGAAGAATCAGCTAGGAATTGCGTCGAACAGATAAAATGCATAACTTTTTTTGTTTTACCATTTACCTTCAGTCACTTGGCCGAACTCAGAAAAGGCGTCCTTTAGTGACTTCTCGTCCACGGACCAAGACAAACCTGTTATGAAAGATCGATAATCGGATGAACAAATTCCAGAAAGCAGATTTACGGATGAGCGAGAGGATTACCGGCAACGAAGAGTTTGTCGTTTGCCGGAGGGGAAGAGGCGGCGGTAGCTGCCGGAGAGCAATAAAGGCGGAGGCCATGGGATATTGGCGCCGGAGGAGAAGGAAGGCCGGCGGCCACGACGAGTCTTCTCGTAAATCCAACGAAATAGTCCTTCATAGCCGATCAAGTTTCTGGCTAATTGATTTTCCTGAGTGCCTTAGAAAAAAGTTGTTTTTCTGGTTTAACTTTAACGTTTTTTATTTTAACTTAAATATTGAAGTTTAGGGAGAAAGACAGGTTTTTATTCCGGAAATATACATATTCAAAATATACTAAAATAAAACTTTCATGTTTTTATTCCCGAAATAAGACTTACATTATCAAACATGATCATGTACATTACCAAAAAAGTATAGTAATGTGCATATGTACAGTGCCACATCACCACAGTACAAAGTCCTATTTCGAAGAAAAAAAATATGAAAATCTTATTTTGATATTTTCTCTATGTTTTAGTCTTATTTAAAGTGATTTCTATAAAGTTTATCCAAAATTTTTAATGATAATAAAATGTTGTCTTCAAATAAGAGCATAATTATCTTAGCTAACTCTAACCACAACCAAATCTCAACATATTAACCTTTTTAGAGCTCTAATAACTCTATTCTGTAAATAGTACAATTATAATTACTCTTCCTACATATTTTTCTCAAGTTATAGTAACATCGAAGTTATTGCCTCCAATGGAGATTAAACTCGTGACCTCCCATTTAAAACGATCATTCTTAGTGTAATAGAAAAACAAGATCTTTAGCATCCACACACTACTACTCCTGTCTTAATTTATATTATCTATTTCGATGTACGATATTTAGTTGAAATTATCTTCTAATCATTTTATATGAAAAATGGTGTAAAATTAAAAAATAAAAGTATATATGAAAATACTACATCAAAAAATCTACAAAACGAGTGGCAACAAGACTATATTATTTTATATAGAAAAAAAGTGATTGGAGTTTAATTCTTTGAATAATATACAGAAAATTTAACAATTTGGGACAGAGGAAATAACTTATAATCACACAATTGGTGGCTATTCACTTCTCTATTCCTCCCATTAGTGATGCTATTAGACATCTATCTTGTCCCTTAAATCTAGCGCCTAACGATCATCACCACTTCAGTATTTGAGCCCTCACTCCTGGGTGAAGATGGAGATGTCAAACTCCCTAAGAATAGCTCATACAAACCCCCAACAAAGGCCTCACAAGCTTCAAGCATACAGTTAATGGAGATTGTTGAAAACTCTAGCCATATATAAGCACAAATCAATGGCAGGTAGAAGAACATATCACCGGGAGAAACACAGCAACGGTTCAATAAAACCCCTTCTTATAAACTCCAAGCAGTGCCATACAAGATGAAAAGAAAAAGGGTATCATGTCGAAATGAGACCCAAACAAGATTCACAAACTACAAGATGATAAGGAATCACAAATGGCATAATAAACAAAAGACTATAGCAGCAGACCAATCAAAAGAGTAAAGACCTTGAAACCATGATATAGAGAGAGTCGAGAGATGGGCACAACATCATTGTATTCATTTGGCCATCATGACCTTGACAAACTCTTCATAGTTGATTTGTCCATCTCCATCCACATCAGCCTCTCTGATCATCTCATCGACTTCCTCATCAGTCAGCTTCTCCCCAAGGTTCGTCATCACGTGACGCAGCTCGGCAGCAGAAATGAAACCGTTCTGATCCTTGTCGAAAACACGGAACGCCTCCTTCAGCTCTTCCTCTGAATCAGTGTCCTTCATTTTCCTGGCCATGAGGTTCAAGAACTCCGGGAAGTCGATGGTCCCATTGCCATCGGCATCCACCTCATTGATCATGTCCTGCAGCTCCGCCTCCGTAGGGTTCTGCCCTAACGATCTCATCACAGTTCCCAGCTCTTTGGTGGTGATGCAACCTATGAACACCAATCATACCCGCAAAATTAACTGCAATTCCCATATTTAGACATTCTCAAAGCTTTTGTAAAACTCGGGGTTCCATCCTGAAAAGATCAACCCGAGTGTATGCAGGTTTGTAACTTTATATCAAGCCAGTGTTGGACACTCTTCCACACATCATGAACTATAACTGATATGAAATCAATAATCAAAGGAAAGCAACAAGAAATCCAGTAAAAATCCCACAAAGAGCAGGGTATTAGGACATTGTGTGTACACAAATCTTATCCCTAATCGGAAGCAGAGAGACTATTTCCATGACCCAGCTCAAAAACAGGAGAGCACCAAATAATTGAAGTAAAGCAACACCTGTATATTTACGGGTTCAAGTCATATAGATCTAGTTTGAAGCTAAATCACAAAAATTAAGAATGGAGTAATACAGATCAATCACATTCAAAGATTAGATCATTAGATGCAACTCATGCAATCGGCAACACGAACGATCTTCAAAATCACAGAGCGATTTTGTTATTCATTGCATTTTCCAACAACAACAAAAATCAAATTGCATAGGGGAGAACTACCAACGTAGAATCACGATCGAACATAAAGAATAAAAGGAAAATTCCGACTACGGATCAGATCTGGCCAAGAAACGAAAAAAGCAGATGTAAACGAAGAGTTTAAATACACAAAATCGAAAATTCAGGGGAAAAAATGGAGGCGAGGGATCGCACCATCGCCATCCTTGTCGAAAAGGCTGAATGCCTCCTTGAACTCAGAGATCTGGTCGTCAGTCAACTGATCCGCCATTTCTACTTCTCCAAACGCTCAACGATCACAAGATTCTCTTCAGCTTCCTGATTTGGACGGAAAGTGGAGAAGACGATGGGGAATTGGGGGATGATTCTTGTAAACGAGATGGGGTCGGATTTGTAGGATTCAAAACAGCGTTATTTGTTTACGGAGTAGCATCAATTCAAACCACTTTATTTATTTACGAAAAGAAAATTGCAAAAAGAACGCCATAATTATGGCTCCCTTTGCAAAAATAGTTGACAGAACGACTGGAAATTGAACAAGTAGTAAAACTATATTGAGTACTATTTTGAAATTTTATCATGAATTTTTTATTTAGAAGTAAGATTATTTTGGTATAAAAATATAGAAGATCATATTTAATTATGCCTATGATATTTTAGTCCTATTTAAGAATATGCGTCTAAAAAAATTGGTAGTTGTGATTACTGAGTAGCATACAGGAAATAACAATAATCTAAATCACACAATGTTTTTTTATGGAAAAATAAGAAATTAATTATGACGGAACAATAAAGTATAAAGCTACTAAAGCGGCAGAGATCAGAAATACTCCCTAAGAAATCATCCACGATATGAGTAAAACAAAGCTCTAATCACCAAACTAGAAATGCCAGTTTTTATCTTCAAAATGAGACTTTGCAATGATGATATTATTGGCATTGTAATCTTATTTTAGAAATAAAAAATTAGAAGATCTTATTTTATTTATTTTTCTATATTTTACTCCAATTTTAGTCAATCTCCCATAAGAAATGTTTAGTAAAAAGACAATAGGCTATTTGGTGTGGGAGATGAGGAGGTAGTCGGGATGGCACATGTCATTGAGAGCACGGGCAATGGCAAGTAGAAAATGGAATGCCACACGGTGACGTGGAATATTTTAACCAATCAAAATCAGCCCAGTCAGCGTGTGGCAAGTGAATGGAGTAGCATGTCTTACAATGGCAAGTAATTGTTTTTGTCCATTTTTACACTTTTTAAACATATTTAATTATTAAAAATTATTTTACTTATATTTTTTTACAAAAATAGATGTACTCCTATTTTAAAAAAAATCTTCTTTTTTTTCAAAAAAAAAATAAAAAATAAAAAAAAAAAAAAAAAAAAGAAATCTGACTCGCTGAAGCCTCAAGAACCGTGGAAGAAGTGGAATCCCACGCGAGGCAAAGCTGATGGTTGTCCTACATGTCATGTACATGTCATAGCATGGCAAGCGGATGGAGCGCCGCTGCACATGCTCTGAGTGCCGATAAGAACACTCCCCCCCATTTGGTATTCGGAATAGTACCAATAGTAGTTACCTCCACGCCGACGACATCGAGCACATGCAACAACTTTTTTTCCTTAATTTTTTTTACCGTTGGTCAATCGAGATAAGTATTGTTCATTTTAGACCCTTTTTAAACCATTCCTTCTATCACAACCTTTCATTCATTTTCTCTCCAATGTTTATACTAGGCTTCTCTACTCTCACCTATTTTTTCATATTTTTATTTCCTACTTTTACCAAAATAGACCCAAACCAACCAACCCACCTACAATTTTCGCTACTTAGTATACCCGAGTATGAATCATAGGCCAATTTCACTCAGCCGGTTTCGATCAATGGCAAACAGATCAATCTTTCTAATCGTACATGATGGTGTGAATAAGTTGACTGGGTTCAGGCGGTGGGGTAAGTCAAAAAAGTACGAGTAATTAATTATCACGCTGTTTGCAAACATAACCGCGAAGACTTGACGTGGTTGGAAACAACTGAAACCTACAACAATAACAACAACACAACAATAATAACTCTGCAAAATCCCATAAACTAGGGTCTAGGAGGTTGTATGTACACAAACCTTATCCATTATTGGATAGTAAAGAGACTATTTCTAAGAGATCTACAACTCTAAGAACATGAACAACACATAACACCAAAAACAATCAAAGGCCAAACTTAAAGCTAGAAAGATGCATATGGGGGAAAACACAAACAAATGCAAGGCAAAAGACATACAAAAACAACCACCCCGATCCAAGAAACTACCCTAGTTTTAGATTTTGAGACGTTCCTATTTAAGATCATATCCTCGGTAAGGATCAGAAATCCTAAATCTTGCCTAATCATTTGCTTGCAATTTATCTAGGTCTACCCCTCCTCCCACCCCACCAACTATCGTAAACCTCTCGTATCTTTACACCAGGACCTATTTGCTACGCCACTTCACGTGACCAACCCATATCAATCTACCGCTTGTACTCTTGTTAAACTACATTAAGCAATGATGAATTGAACCAAAAGATAGTAAACTAAATGATATACCTCAAAATGATTACACTTTTACCATTTGAGCCTTCCAATAAGTTTTAATTATTCATATATTTTCATTGATCATTTGATAAACTAAAATATTTTTGTTACATTTTTTTTGTGAAATTCTTAATGTATTCTTTAAATTTATTATTTGTACCTTTTATTTTCTATACCAATTTATTGATAAAATCATTTTTTAAAGATAAAATTTTACACATTGTTCGAACATTAGAACAGAGGGAGTATAGTTTTCAACTTTATATTTCAGTCTTACAGTTTTCAACTCAAATTTTCAAACACCCGACTTTTTTTACCTGAACTCCTAAATCCGAATTCTAGTTAAAATTATTATTTTATCTCGGCCCTAAATTTTACTTACCACAATCTAAATTCCAAACTCCAGTTTCTAAAAATTCCAAACTCAAGTTAATTAAGACGAGAAGAATAACACTTACTCTCTCCATTCTTTATTAACGATCTATTTTGATTTTTGACATTCACAATATATTGAGAAATGAATAAATATAGTCATGTAGACATACTTTATATCTACATTCATTCATTTTTAATGTATCATTAAATTTAATAAAAAAATAATAAAAATAAAAAAATTGACAAAGTAAATAGAATAGCACCAAAACTAAGTCTAACTTAACGATCTCCCTTGGTAGAACAAAAATGATGCACAAACCATATGTAGTTTGCACATTATCATCAACTAATAGAGAGGTTCATTAAATTTTAAAAATTAAATAAAATAACATAAACAACCTTGATATATGTACATTTGTTAGTCGACAAAGCAACTAAAGTGAAGTGGAAAAAAATAAAAATGTCACACACACTTATTACAAATAAACTCCTCAAGATTTTATTGATTAAGATTAACAAACAAAAATAAATAAATAGAACAAGGATGCTCCCAAAAAATCGCATCCATGGTGATGATGATGAGGATGATGATGATGATTCCACTCCATTTGTCATTTTGACATGGAATAAATCTGTCTGCAAAAGGTGTGCATTGTTTGGTTCTGGGGCAGAGAACTTAAGAATTTCCCCAATGACAATGAGTGAAATCCAAACAAGCCTTGAGGCCATCTGCATACAGATGAACAATAGCATTTCAAGCACAAAACAATTATACCAAAACAATGAATATTTATATATATTAGAAAACAGGTGGTGCAGGCATTAATGGACATCACATGTAACAATTGTCAGGCAAGGCAAGGCAAATAATAAATGATATATGCTACCAAACAAGAAGATAAAGCCATTAAAGATGAAAAGCTACCAATCTATATATGCCATCCAACTAAATTCCACTAGTACCCTCTGTTTGTTAGTAGAATTCAGGTTGAAGCAATTACATGAATTCTGCAAGCTATTGTATAGTTTTAAGCATTGATTAATTAAGTAATTAATAGGGCTTTCTTCTTCACAAAGCTGGAAATGGTTGTAGTGTTGCCTTTAAGGCACAATCTTTACCTTCAAGTTTGGGGTTTTTCTTGCTTTTGTAGTTAAAGATGAATGGCCCACTGGCTTCAACCAAAGTGAATGGGTTCATTTTTATTGTCCACTTCCTAAACCCATGCTAAAAAAAATTATTAATAGTCTTTAAGAATAGAGTAAATCTAAAATGATACTAGTGCTACTGGTGTCATTCGCTTACACCAATTTGTTTGGGGCACCGCTGTTAGGTAAAAATGGTGGTTCCTACTCCCTAACCTCCCCCCTAAACCCCCTTGCCCCCCCTCCCTACCCTATACTTCCAGAGTCGGAAGTGGGAAGGGTGTGGGGGTGTAAGAACAATCATTTTTATTAATGAAGCATTGTAGTTCCCCAAACAAACTGGCATAAGCAATTGGTGTATAAGTACCTGGGGTCATTTTAGACGCCCTCATCAGAATATGAATTATTTCTTCGGTTTTTAATTGGTTTTGAGTTCAAACCTCACAATTCTACATGGTCTCAGAGATAAAGCATAAGATTTTGGAGCTAAAACAAAAGAAGCCCAAGGCACTCTAAGACAAGATAATCAAGTAAACCTATGCTTAAAAGGACCAAGTATATAAGGTATCATCCATAGTACTTAAGCACATCCACACAGAAAACATATGTGATTAATGTAGTAAATAACATATAATCATGAAGTGAAAGCAGCAATTACCTGTGGTGACAAGAGTTGATTAATCCACACTAATCATTCATTCTAACCAAGTTAATATGTTCTTGAGTCTATTCCCAGACAGTCTCTGTAAGGCCCTCTTGGCACCCACCACCTCCATCTCAGCCAGCCTCTGCAAATGCCCATAAACTCCGGCATCCAAGAGCCGCTTCCGGCAGAACTTGCTCCCTCCTCCGGCCACGACCGACGAAACCACCGCCACCGGGAACTTCTTGGACACCCAATCGGTCTTCGGGTCGAGCATTTGCGCGATCAGAATCACACTCTTGTCGTCCCTCGCGAAATCCTTGCGGATCGAGTTCACGGTCAAGAGTGATGTCAGCGCGTTCGTGGCAACCTCCTGGAGCCCGTCGGGCTTCGCGGACTGCATCAGCTTCACAAGTGAGCCCATACAGCCCGCGATTTCCCTCTTGTTCGTCTCACTGATGGGTAAATTCGCAAGCAGGGAGGCCGAGATGTACTGAATCATAAGGGTTCCATGTTGGATGAGTTCGGATAATTGGGCGAGAAAAGGTGTGGAAGTAGAGAGGTGGCGCGAAGTGGATTCGCAGCCGGAGAGCGAATGGATCGCCGGCAAGACGTGCTCGGTCATTTCGGGCCGGGTGGATTCTTGCAGGGAGTGGAGCAGTCTGGATAACCCGTTTTCCTTGAGCAACAGATCGCGGTAATACCCGCCGGAAGAAGCTAGGGTTGCGATGCAATTCGCAGCCTTTTCTTGGGCGGAGGAGTGGCCGGAGACGAGGAGCTGGA